TCCTCACTGTCACTACAGGGCGCTCCAAGCTCATCTCTATCTCCAGCCCCAGCCGAGAATCCGCCTTTTCTCCGAGGAGCAGCCTTGGTGCCTTTCCCGGGAGGATGGTGCTAGAAACCAGGACGGGGGCAGTAGGGGTGCTCACTGCTCCCAGAGTTCACTGCTTCTAGGCTCACTCAGCTAACAGAGCAAGGACATATATGTGTGTGTGCTAACCTGTGTGTGTACACAAATCTATAAGTATTTCCATGTGTAGTTACAACTGCCTGCATCTATATAAAGTTAAACATGAGTTTGTGTAGATGTCTCCAATGAGAAACCTACCTCCCCCCTTCCCCTTCCATTTGCTTCATAGTTCCATTCCAGGTGCAGAGAGTGGCTTTAGGAGGTTAGCCCCAAGACTCTGGGTTTTGTTGTTGTTGTTGTTTTAAATATATTTTTATTGATTTCAGAGAGGAAGGGAGGATAGATAGGAACATCAATGATGAGAAAGAATCATTGATTGGCTGCATCCTGCACGCCCCCCGCTGGGGATCAAGCCTGAAACCCAGGCATGTGCCCTTGCCCAGAATCAAACCCAGGACCCTGCAGTCCGCAGGCTGACGCTCTATCCACTGAGCCAAACCAGCTAGGGCTTTTTTGTTTGTTTGTTTTTTAATAGAAACCCTTTACCTGCTTCTCCAGCTCAAAAACCTCCCCTGACTGCCCAGGACCCCCAGTCAAGACTCCAGCCCCTCCCCATAGCCCTGCGTGCCTGTGCAGTCCAGCTTTGCCCCCTCTTTGCAGTCTGAACAAAAGCAGCCCCACCCAGGACCTTTGCTCCTGCTGTTCCCTCTGCCTGGAGTGCTCTCCTCCCAGCTCCACATCTGACTGGTAACTTAGCTCTCAAATCCTATCTGGAAGCTGACGCCCCCTCCCACTCCAGGACCGACTTGGGGTGTTGTGTCAGGCTCAGCCCTCTCCCCGACATGCTGGGGTGCTCCTTGGGGGCCCTGGCACCTTCCACACCAGCCAGGTGGGGTCTGAAGTCCGGGCCAGGGGCAAGGTAGGGAAGAGGGAGAGAATTCCTGTTTCACAGGCAAGACCTTGGCTCCTGGACAAGAGGATACTGTGAAGTTCCAGAGTGTCAGAAGCTTGCCTTGATCCAGGAGCACTAGAGGCAAAGCTCTCACCTGCCCTGATCTTAGATTCCAGCAGGTTCTGTGGTGACGAGGACAGGATGCAGGACAGGTCCATGTTGGGTTCCTGGAGCGAAGCAGGCCAGAGGACACTCGGAGGTCCCGTCAACACCCCTACAGCCCAAGACCACCTCAGCCGGAGGTTCACGGGCCAATGTTTTTATTTCTGAGATGGGGGCGGGGTGCCCGGAGAGGTTAAATAACGTTCACCAGATCACCCAGCAGTGTTGCCAAGCTGGATATAACGACCATTTCCTGAGCACCTACGTGCCAGGCAGGTAAAGCTACATACTGTGTGTAGGCAGGTGCCTGTCCCGGCAGCAATCCAGGCTACGGACTAGAAGGAAACACAAGAGGGTAGACAGGGTGGCATTGAAAAAGGAGTAGATCAGGTAGAGCCAGAGGAGTGCCTGGGCTGGGGTGGAGGTAGAGGTGGGATGAGAGAGCAGGGAGGGCTTCCTGGAAGAGGGGCCCTAGCAGGTGGGGCTTGGAAGATGAGAGGAGATTGTGCTGCTTTTCCCAGGAGAATCCTTTCCTCCCTTCTCCCTCACTGCCTCCCAAGAGCTCACATCTTCCCAGAAAAGTGCTTCAATCCCACCCCACCAGGGACCTGGGTCCCCAGCCCACACCCTCTTCTCCTCCTCCTCCTCCTCCTCCTCCTCAGTGCCTCCAAATCTGTGAGCCCCAAACCTGGTCTTCTCAGGGCTCCCCAGCTTGGCCCGCCCTCAGACCCAAGAAGGGGAACTTGCAACTGCTCAGTGGGGCATGCAGGCAGCTGCAGGCCCATAGCAGCTGCCCTTGTTCTGGGCCTTCAGTGTCACCAGTCTCCTCTCAGTTCCTCTGCCTCTGCGGGTCCCTCCCCAGGCCTGCTCCTTCCCCCTAATGTGGCTCGATCATTTGCATCCTTATCCTGGGTGGCATGGGGTCCCCCTCTGGGCACGGTATGCCACCCCTCCACCCCACCCCTGTGGGTTGTGATCCCCTGTGTCTGGCTCCCCCTCTCCATACTGTGTGGCCTGTGAGGGCAGCATCTGCTGAATGATGACGGGCCGCCTGGTGGCATTCCAAGCAGAGGACACGGGAAGTGCCAAGGCCTGGAGGCGGCGTCTGGCTGTTGTAGCAACACGAGAAATCCCAGGAGGGTGGTTTCGGTTCAGACTGCTCAGGGGTAGGGTATCAGGGAGGGGCTGCCGGTGGGCAGGCGGTGCAGTGGGTGCCTGGCCAAGAGCACACATCTGGCTCCGGTGCCGGCCCAGCACCCTCAGGTGCCTCACTGCTGCAGGGATATTTTTAGTGGCTGCTCCTGCAGGGGCTGAGCCAGACAGCTGTCAGGAGAGATTGGGAGAGAGAATGCAGAAGGGTGCAAGCTGTTCTAGCACATAGATGGGAAAGGGCCAGAGCTCTGCCCTGGACCTCTCAGCCTCAGCCTTGTAGTGTAAATAAAGTTTTATTGGAACGCAGCCATATCCATCTGTTCAGTTACAACAGCAGAGCTGGGCGGTGTGGACAGACTGTATGGCCCATGATGCCAAAAATCTACCTGCCTTTTTTTTTTTATAGAAAGTGCCAGGGCAAAACTCTCTTTGCAGGGGAGAGGGGGGACTTGGTAGTGGTTACTAGATGATTTTCCCCACTATTTCTGATTCTCCTCCTTCCAGGTACAAGGGAGGACTTAGTGTCGCTCAGCTCCAGAATTAGGCAGTCATGTGACTTGCCTTAGTCAATGAAATGCTTCCTGGGCAAGCCTTTAGGAGATGGTCCCAACTCACCGCCATGTGACCCTTCCTGTCTCGCCACCTGATGTTGGAGGTGGTGGAAGTTGTCAGGCTGGGATGCTGAGTGAGGGCGATGAGAAACAGCAACATCAGAAATGTGGGAGGAGGGAAAGACCCACCACATATTCAGGGCCAGAGCCTAAATGCCTCCTGCCCCCCGGCTTATGAAAATAAAAATAGAATCAAAGTAGAGATGTCAACACCTGCCACTCGCCCTGACTGATCCCTGACTGCTATAGACTGATGTGTCCCCTAAATTCCTGGTGTAGCCCAAATCCCCAGTGACATGGTTAGGAGGGAGGAGCCCTTGTGATGGGATTAGTGCCGGGGTGGGCAAACTTTCTGACTCGAGGGCCACAATGGGTTCTTAAACTGGACCGGAGGCCGCAACAAAAGCATGGATGGAGGGTTTGTGTGAACTAATAGAAATTCAAAGTAAACATCATTACATAAAAGGGTACGGTCTTTTTTTTTTTTTTAAGTTTTATTCATGTCAAACGGCCGGATCCGGCCCGCGGGCCGTAGTTTGCCCACGGCTGGATTAGTGCCTTTCTAAGGGACCCAGGAGCATTTGCTCTCTCCCCTGCCATGTGAGGACACAGCAAGGAGGCAACTGTCTGCAAGCCAGGACCCCATTATGCTGGCGCCCTGATCTGACTGCCAGCCTCCGGACCGTGAGAACTGTGTCTGTTGTTTAAACTGCCCAATCCGCGGTATCGTTATAGGAGCCTGAACAAACGGAGACACTGAGACAGCCCCAAGAAGGAATCTGTTCCATGAAATACGCAACCACACGCAACACAGCAACCACACACAGTGATTCAGGCAGAAATGCATGGGCTGCTGTTACAAAGTATCACGAACTGGGGGCTTAAAGAAACAGATGTGAGGAGGGCTGGTTTCTTCAGGAGGTTCCAGGGGAGGAGTCCTCACCTCTTCCAGCTTCTGGGGCTCTGGTGTCCTCAGCTTATGGCTGCGTCACTCGTCTCTGCTCCCACCTGCACTCGGTTTTCTCCTCTGGGTCTGGGCCTCCCTCTGTCCTTTATAAGGACACTTGTCATTGGCTTTAGAACTACCCGAATCTAGGATGATCTCATCTCAAGATCCTTTACTTAATTACATCTGCAAAGTCCGTTTTCCACATCCAGTCAGGAGCCAGGATTCTGACGTGTTTTTTTTGAGTCACCATTCAACCATCCTATCTAATACAGATGGAATATGCAAATTGACCATAACTTTGTGACAAAGATGGTAGTGCCCACAGCCAATAAGGAGGGAATATGCAAATTGACACAAGGTGAGAGGTAGAAGGTGGCTCTGGCTGGAGTGAAGGCAGTGCTGACAGCCAGGGAAAGGAAGGCCTATCCTTGCTCAAATCTTTGTGCATCGGGCCTCTAGTTACAGATGATGTCTTATCTAAAACTAGAGGCCTGGTGCATCAATTCATGCACGGGTTGGGCCCAGCCAGCCCCGCTCCGATCGGGGTGGGGGTTGGGGGCGATCAGGGGCAGGGGCAGCTGGGGATGGGGGGTCTGTGGGAGGTTGGCTGGCTGGCCCCACTCCCTGGTAGAATGCCTGGTCAAGGGGACAATTTGCATATTAGTCTTTTATTATATAGGATTTTATCTAGGAGCTTCTGCACATGCAGTGACAGGGCAGGGGGTTCATCAAGAAGCTGCTGTCTGCACCTTTGGGATTCAGATTCTCCTTTAAGACCTTCCTGCAGCTGTGACTCCAGGCACAAGCACCGATTTTCTCCAGGAACAGAGGGCAGCTTTTGTTTCATGGCTTTGGAGCAGAGACTGGGGCACACACCTCACCTCGGCCATGATTGGTCTCCATGGCAGGGCTCCAGCAGCTGCCTCCCTTGTCTGTAAAATGGCCAGGGTGGGCTGGAAGGCTGCAGTTAACACAGTGCCACTGGGTCTGGGGAGGCATTACTGGGGAGGCATGCCCCGTCTGTGCCTGACCCGGGGACCCACATGGTAGCGATGACTGTCCCAGGCGCCGCCAAGTCTCCCGTCGGCAGAAGGAACCGAGGCCACAGTGGAGTGGGGCACTTGGTTTATTTCTGATGCAGTGATCAGGACGGTGCAGATCTGGGCTGCGGAGTGGGGTAGGTGTAGGGGTGAGGCAGGACTAGAACTCCACCTTGCAAGCAGGGAAGGCCTCGTCCTGCATGGACACTGTGCTGTTACTGCCCAGCACCGTGATGCCTAGCGCCTGGTGCTGGGCATGCGTCTCCTCATACCACTCGTGCATGGCCATTGAGTCGAAGGTGGGGATCAGGGTCACCTGTGGGCAGGAAAAATGGACGAGCAGTGAAGGGGAGAGCGCTCTGCTCTTGTGTCCCAGCCCCTGGGCAGCTGAGGTGCCCTTCTCTGACCACATGTGCTCCGCCTCCCCAGCGGCCAGCCTGTCCCTGAAGTCCCTCTGATCCCACAGCACCCAAAGGACCCTCTTACAACCCCGGAGACCGGGCCAGGGCTCTGTGAACCCCTCTCTGTGCCTCCCAATCTAGGCTCACCCGGGCCTCCCTGCAGCTCCTCGAACACAACAGGCTCACTCCCACCTCAGGCCTTTGCCCATGTTGTGCCCTTCACCCAGACTCTCCCTCCTGGCTGTTCTGTAAGCTGTGTGCAAGGTCAGGGTCTCACACTCACATACTGAGTGGCAGCCAGCTACCTAAGCTCTCCCTCTGCCCAAGCTTGCCCCACCCTTCAATGCTCTGCTTCAAGGCTTCCTTTGGGGACGACCCCCGTCCTCTTCCTCAACTGTGTAGATGCCACACGCCCCATCTGTTCCTCCTGGCCGAGTCTCATGACAGTGGGGTGGCTAAGAACTGGGGTTCAGGAGAGGTGACCAAACCAGCCCTGCCCTGCGTCCCCAGTCAGGTTGCAGCAGAGGAATGAGGAAACGGATGTGACAGGAGCAGCCACCTGAGAGATGGGGAGGGCGCCTGCCTCCTTTCCGTGTGGCCCTGGGGATGCAGGTGGATCTGAGCCCCAGTCCCACCTGTGAGGGCTGAACAGGAACATACTGGGAGGCACTGACCTCGCCCTGTGTCAAGACTGTCTAAGGCCGTAGGGTGGTCACTCACCTGTAGGTCACGGTCCCACTGCTGCTTGCCGGCCAGCAGGGCGTCCAGGACGGCCCGCATTCCCTCTTCCTTGTGCTGGTCCTGGCCGCTGATGACATAGCAGAGCGCGCGCACCCGCCGAAAGAACTCCTCATTTAACAGGCAGATGCTGCCCCCGCTGGGCAAGTAGGCCAGGTCAAGGTAGACAGGGGAGCCGGGGGAGGCCTCCGACCCACCCGGCCGGCTGCTGGCTGACCCTGTGGGCAGGAAGGATGGCGTCAGTCATGAGCTTCTGGGCCTGGGAAGGGGCTGAGTCTCGGGGCTTGGGACCAGGCGTCCAGCTCTACGTGCACCTCCGTGAGTGCTTCTCCTCAACAGGAGGCCTGATCTCACTGTTTTATGGCTGGTTGACAAGCCCTCCCTGGCACGGACAGTTACTCATTGAACTCTGTAAACACCCCTGGCTGCCTCCTCAGTGCCTGGACCCTCCCTTGCCAGTCCCCAGACACAGACATCCTTCAGGCCAGAAGGAGGGGGCAACTGTGGAGGGCTTCCTGGAAGAGGAGGCTTTTGGGACTTGAGCCCTAAAAGCAGCTGATGCCTGGAAGGTTCGCTGCTCCTGCAGCATCCATCTGTTCAATTACTCAAGGGACATTTGTCAAGCCCTCCCGGGCCCCACGTCCTGGAGACATGGTAGTGACCAAGACAGACCAAAATCCCTGCCCACAGGGGCAACAGAGAGCAGAGCTGGTGTGGGAGGGGTCGCGTTGCAAGGAGACCCAGGACAGGGAGGCCTGGATGGATCTGGGGCAGCTGTGCTCAGAGCCTTGTCCGCAGCCCTGAACCCAGAGCCATGCCGGGGGGACAGGGCTGCCGCTTTGGGGTGGGTGAATTCTAACACCCGGTTGAGGTCTTGGGCACCGGAAGCCTACCAGACGCTCGATGTCAGGAACATAAATGTTGCGCAGCTCAGGGTGTGGCCCAAAGGGCTGCAGGGCAGTTGCAAATAAATGAAACTCCTGGCTTTGGGCAAAAGGCACCTGTCACTCGAAGCTGGGGATTGTGGTGGTGAGGATCCCGCATGGAGCCTTAGGAAGAGACAGCTACTGTGGCTATGGAAAGCACAAGGGAGACAGGAGTAGGAGAGCTGGGGGGCAAGGAGAAGATGAGGGGGATCATGGGCAGGAGGATAGGGGCAGAGGAGGGACTGGGCAAGTGATGACCTATAAGCTAAATATGGCATCTGCTTTTATAAAGATGGTTTGACTGGAATATCTGTCAGGTACTTACTGAGATGCCCTGAGTTTGAGACAGAGATGGTCTGGTCTGCAAAGCTGAAGGTTACCCGCTGGCCCTTTAAGACGCTGTTTGCTGATGTAGCATGGAGGGGCAGAACCCTGAGTGGCCAACACTGTGGCCTCTCAAAGAGGCCACATGCCCTGGCGGACAGAGCCCCAGATGACCCCCAGCCTTTCGGTGTCCACGGACCCGAGGGGGCCATCCTCTCCCTGTCCTGGGAACCCCCGACCTGCCAAAGGTCACAGGGGCCATCAGGTGCCTCCCCTGGAATCTGCCCAAAGACAAGAGGTGACAGCTCAGGTGGGTGTGGAGGCTTGAAGAGCCTCAAGAGACCAGGGTGTCCAGCAGCCAAGCACACCCCTCAGCTCCTGGAGGGGACGACCCCAGGTACCTGGAATGAGGCCCAGCCCACAAGCAAGTGCTCAGTAAATGCAGCTACAATTATTACTGTTGTCATATCATTGCTTTCTCACCAGCCCTCCCTAGGTGACCTAGCCCTGTGCTAACCAAGGCAGTGGCTACCAAGTACTGCTAAGTGGTGGGCGTGAGCCAACATGAGCTGGGAGTGCCAACTGCATGCCAGGCTCCCAAAACTTAAGAGTAGAACAGAGAAGAGGAACTATCAAATACCTTATTTGGTTGATTACACGTGGAAGCATCACCTTTACACAGTGCTATGCAGGAAACAGTTTATACACAGTTGGGAGGATTCTAGGAAGATGGGGCGGTAGGAAGCACCAGGAATTCCTCTTTCCACCCAGAGGACAACCGAATTGTGGCCTCAAGTTGAAGCGACTTCCATGGGATTTAAAGGACTGCGCAACGTCCCCCACCCCTCTCAGTCTGGGAGCAGATATTTAAGCAACTACATATACAGGAGAACTGAGAAAGTCACCACACAAGCCCAGAGAAAGGTAGAGGCTGAGAAAAGGCCTGACAACCCTGTACATTTACACCCAGACTGATGCCCGTCAGAGAGACAGCCCACAATAACGAAACCACAAAAAGCCACAGCAAACCCCAGGGAAGGAGAGACACTGGATTTCTAGAGTTATCGCATTATTACATTCAAACATCCAGTTAAAAAAAAAAATCAGAGGACACACAGAGAAAGAGCAAAGTATGGACCATTTAAAGGGAAAACAATAAATCAACAAAAATCAACACTGACGAAGACTTCAAAACAACCGTGTGAAAGATCCTCAAAGAACTAAAGACAGAGAAAATCAAGAACACAGTGTCGGAACAAAATAGAAAATCAATGAGGAGATGGAAAACAAAAAGTAAACCAAAAATAAATTCTGCAGCTGAAAAGAAGTGTAACAGCTTACGTGAAAATTTCATGAGAGGGATTCTGTTCAAGATTTGAACAGGCAATAAATAAATAAATAAATAAAGCAGTGACCTTGATGACAGAACCATGGAAATTACCAAATCTGAGGAACAGAAAGAAAAAAGATTCAAGAAAGTGAATAGAGTCTAAGAAACCTCTGGAACACCATCAAGAGGACCAACATAGTCTGGCCGGCATGGTTCATTCAGTGGTTGAGCATCGACCTATGAACCAGGAGGTCACGGTTTGATTCACGGTCAGGGCAAATGCCCAGGTTTCAGGCTCGATTCCCAGTGTGGGGCATGCAGGAGGCAGCCGATCAATGATTCTCTCTCATCATTGATGTTTCTATCTCTCTCTCTCCCTCTTCCTTCCTCTCTAAAAATAAAAATAAACATTAAAAAATATAATAATAATAAAAAAGGAACAACATATATATGATGGAATTCCCAGGAAGAGGAGAGAGAAGAGAGGGGCAGAAAGATTATATGGGGGGAAATAATAGCCCTAAACTTCCCATATTTGATGAAAGACACAAACGTAAGCATCCAAGAAGCTTAATGAACTCCAAGTACAATGACCTCAGAGACCCACACTGAGACCCACGATCAAACTCTTGAAAGCAAAGACAAAGAGGGAATCTGAAAGAAAGTGCTGTTCAAAGGGAATTTTATAGCTATAATCTTACAGTTCAAAAGCTTATATTGAAAAATAAGATCTCGGAGATTCCAAAATGGCAGCAGAGTAAGTGGAAGCTACACTGACATGGTCCCAGGACCAAAATGGAATAACAACTAAAATACAGAAAACCATCCTGAATAATCAGCTGAAGACTTGCTGGAGAGAACCCTGGTAGCCAAGGATGGGAAGTGGGACCTCACAGAGGCTGGCAGGAAGGGCAGAGGTGCACAGGGCTGGCTGAGCTCCCACAGACAGCACCTGAAGTTCCGGAGGGATATCTCAGCTGTGGGTGGTTCCCACTGAGAACTCGGGGATCTAAACCCCAAGCTGGGCCCACCAGCCCAGAGCAGAGAACTGAGAAGGTGCCTACACAGCACCTGGCTGTGGAAAGCAGCAGTAGGGCTGTCTGCCTAGGAGAGACGGCTGGAAATGCAGGTACCTTCTTAAAGGGCCAACACAAAATTTTGTGTGCAGCCACTCACACTGGGCTCTGACAGAGGGAGGGTAGAGTGGACTAGAGCTGTGTGAGCAGAATCCAGGGTTGTGGGCTCTGGGATTTGAGCTCAGAGGCAGCTGCCCCAGTTTCCCGTGCTGAGTCATTCCCTCCTACTGCAGAGGACATTTCTCTCCAGCAGACCTTTATCAGCCAGGTAGCTTTTTCCCAGTGGGGAGGGAGCAATTGCCCCATGATGTAGAAAAACCTCTCACTCTACTCTGAGGCTAATCTAGACTGATAATAATCAGAATGCAGGCAGAGATGAGTCCCTGGAGGCTTTGAGTCTTTGCCTGATCTAATTCTGGACCTGGGCTAGGAAAAGCAGACCTTGGTGCATATCTTGGTCCTTTCCAAAGGCACCCAGCTCCAGCAGAGGGAGCCACACACTGCAGATTGCTGACAGCTCCAAACGGTACAAAGCGCATCTGACATTGTCCTGCACTAGAGTTCTGTGAACACTGGGAGTTCTCACAGATCTACCTACTCACAGACACAAACCCAAACAGGCAACCAAAATGGGAAGACAAAAAAATAACCCCCAAGTGAAAGAACAAGAGAATTCTCCAGAAGAGGAACTAAATAAAATGGAGATAAGAAATTTATCAGATATAGAGTTCAGAATAATGATGGCAAGGATGCTCAACAGATGAGAAAAGATATAGTAACTATGAAAAACGGCCAGATGAAAATGAAGTATGACATAGCACTAATAAAGAACACATTGGAAGTAATACACAGCAGATTAGGGGAAGCTAAGGATCAGATCAGTGAATTAGAAAACGGTAGAAAAAAATCAATCAGAGAACCAAAAAGAAAAAAAAAAAACAATTGAAAAACCGGAGGACAGCTTAAGGGAGCTGTGGGACAATATGAATGTACCTATATTCACATCATAGGACAGCAGTTCTCAACCTGTGGGTCGCAACCCCTTTGGCGGTCGAACGACCCTTTCACAGGGGTCACCTAAGACCATCCTGCATATCAGATATTTATATTACAACTAGAGGCCTAGTGCACAAAATTCATGCACGGGTAGGGTCCGTAGGCAGGGCCAGGGATCAGGGCCAATCAGGTTTCCCGCCTTCCTGCCTACTCCTTCCCTCGCAACCTGTGCACTGCCACCATGCAGTTCCTCCCCACCTTTTCCTTCCCCCACTCCCTCAGCACCCTACCACCACCATTGGTCACCTGCCATGTTCCACATCGCCCTCTGGTGGTCAGTGCACATTATAGAAAGTGATCGAACTCCTGTTCTCCCTGTCGAACTCCCAAGGGGACACTTTGCATATTAGCCTTTTATATATAGATTTATAACAGTAGCAACATGACAGTTATGAAGTAGCAACAAAAATAATTTTATGGTTGGGTCACAACATGAGGAACTGTATTTAAAGGGCCAGAAGGTTGAGAACCACTGTCATAGGAGTATGAGAAGGTGAAAAAAATGA